CAGGGCCTAGCAGGAGCCCTGAGGCAAGCCCCCCAACCACCTAAGACCAGCACGGAGTGGGCCCTGCCCTAGAGAGTGCCCAGAAGGATGCTGGAAGGGACAACCTAGGTGGGCTCCATGGAGGAGGCGACATTAAGGGAGACCTTGAGGAGGGCAACTCCCTTAGCCCAGTTTTTCCTCCCCTGGCACCTCCTGACCCAGCCGAATGCCCCCCTTTGGTGAAATCCCCCTCTGAAGTGCCGGCTATGACAAGGGTTGGGGCCACGCCCTCCCTCTGCCCACAGGATGACGGCTGACGGCTTCCTGCAGTCGGCAGGGCGGCTGGGCGCTGTGGTCGGCCCCCTGATCATGACGGCCCGCCAGGCTCTGCCCCTGCTGCCCCCCCTCACCTACGGGGTCATCCTCATCGTTTCCAGTTTTGTCCTACCCTTCCTCCCGGAGACTCGGGGCCTCCCCCTGCCTGACACCATCCAGGACCTGGAGAACCAGTGAGTGCCCCCTGGCCCGGGAGGGGCGGGGCTTCCCGGGAGTGGGCGGGGCCTCCCCTCGCAGCACTGTCACTGGGCGGGCAGATGTGGTGGCCACGGGTCAGGGAGCCGTCCTGGGGGGGGAGGGCAGGGCCTGGGCTGGGCTTGTCATCGGTGACACCACGCTCAGGGCAGCGGCACAGAGGGCGGCCAGGCTGGTGTTTCTGAAACCATTTAATCTTGACAACAACCCTGTGAGGGAGCGACCATCGATCGCTCTCTGCGTTTACACAGACGAGAGGAAGCGGCTTATTCGCGTCTCACAGGGAGAAAGCGACGGGTCCGTAGGCAGGAACACGTGATGGTTCTGAGCCGGCTCTGCAGCCAGGCTGCCCGCAGCTGAGTCCCTGCTACCTGGGCGTGTGGCTAACCTCCCCCCAAAACTGATGGAGAGGCAGCCTCAGCGGTCCGGGGGCTGGGGTCCCACAGAGCATTCCAGGCCCACAGATCCGCAGGCGCGTGGGTTCTCTCGGGCCCTCCAGGAACAAATCATGCCACCCTCATGTATGTTCTTGGAGAGACTAGAAACGAGGGAACGTTCCTCCACTCTTTATAGTCGGAATCCCTGTATGTGTCTGCTGCCTCACTTGTAAAGCGGGTGTGAAAAAAAGACAGAAAACACAGCTTTGCTCGAAGAGTCGTGTTGGGGTTTAAATGAGTCACTATATGAAAGCTCCGAGCCAGGGCCTGGGCCCCGCACTCTGTCGGCGCGGCCGCGGTGTCTGGGGCGAGGGTACATCCAGACGACAGCCCCAGGCGCTGCCACGTGCAGCGTCACTGTCAGGCCACGGAGACCGGGAGGCGATGGGACGCCTGGGGACGCCCAGCCGAGGAGCGGGCGCTGGGACTTAGTTCACTTTGGGGTGTGCCGCTTGTCTCAGGCGTGTGCTAGGCTCGGGGTATACGGTGGTCACAGGACCCTCATCCCTCAGGGGCTGCACCCCCGTAACACCGACCCTGTTCCGCCCTCCACGCTCCCAGGAGCTGGGGCCGCCGTCCCCGCCCCTCACGGTCTCTCTGTGGTCGTTCCAGGAGGTCGGCAGCAGCCGGGGGCACCTGGCGAGAGGCGGTCATTACAGAAAGCACCTGGTTCTAGCAATCCCGCCGCCACTGGAGTCCCTTTGGTCAAAGATCCCGTGGAGGGACCCGCCTCACCTCCAACCCGAGGGTGGAAGCCACGCGGGCAGCCTGGAGGGTTCGGTGTGGCCAGGTCAGGTGGCTGTCCGGGCTGTCCCTGCCTGGGTCCGACTCCCCACCTGCCTCAGCCTGGAGGAGCCCCGGGGCTGCCCCAGGTCCACGCCATTAACAAGACGGCCCCCTCCCTCCCTGCCAGGCTCGCGGCTTCTC